TAGAAATGCGAGAGGTCATTGACATAACGCCGCGTGCTAGGGCAGGACACAGGAAGCCATACAATGTTAAGGACAAACATGGGAAAAATATAATAAATAAACAAGAATGAAATTATGATCATGTCAGGTGGATGGAAAGCAATTTTTTTATACACTTTGGGTTAAAATTATTTAAAAATTATTTTTTTAAATGTCTTTTGTTTTATTTTTGTTCATTTTTTTATTTGTTTCATTTATTTTTTTTATTTTATTTATTTCTTTTGTTTTTGGTTTTCTTATATATATTTATTTATTTTGTTTTTTAATATATATTTATTTGTTTTATTTTTTATATATTCATTTTGTATTTTTTTAATCTGTTTTATGTGTATTTTTATTTTATTTTTTTTTTTACTTATTTATTCTTATTTTATTTATTATTGATTTATTTATTATTTATTTATTTATTTTAAAATAAAAATTCTTATTATTATTTTAATATTTTCTTGATATATTTTGAATTTTGTTTATTATTATAATTATAGGTTTTCCCCAATTCTTTATTTTTAATAAAAAATAAACCCCTTTTCTACAATTAAATTTAATTACTGCACTCATTTATCAAATCGAAGCAAAATTGTAGTGAAAAATGTAAAACGCTTTAAGCCAAATACAATAAAGCACTGCTCATTTTGCTCTTTTATTGCCAAGTGGGTAAAAAGCATTAAAGCAATGTATGATAATAAAATCAAATGGAGGAAAGAAATAAAGGCAAAGGCAGAGGCAGATGCAGAGGCAAAAAAAAAAGTAGTTTCGTCTGGTTCAATGACCCATTTATTTAACTGCTTGGCCTGGATGGCCGTATGGATAGATGTATGGATGGATGGACATGGGCCAAATGCGCACAAGCGAACTCAACTTTCAAGTTGAACAAGAAAACGGGAAAGAAAAATAAAAACTATCATCATTTTTATTATATCTCCAGTCCCAACTCAAACTCCATGCCCTCTCTCTCTTTCTCAATCTTTTGTCTGTTTTGATACTCGTGCCAAATCGCAAACAGTTAGAGTCTATTTAAAACTGCCAAAAACTTATGCGGTTGATAAACTGTTGAGCTGCGTAGTTTGAGCCATAAACCATATGCCCAAAGGGGTGTGTCTTTACATCATTTT